GATATCCATCGAATCCGTGGATAGATATTTTAATGTTTTGAATGTTGTATATGTAGGTTATACACCATCGAAGGTCGTTTTTCAGCAAAAGTTAAGTAGATTTCGCAATGAATCTGAAGATATAGAAAGGTGGATTAACAGTATATCAAAAGAGAAATGGGCATTATCTTATGATGATGAAGGACGGCGTTATGGACACATGACTACAAATCTTTCAGAATCAGTAAATAAAGTGTTTAAAGGTGCTAGAAACCTACCCATATGTGCATTAGTTAAAGCCACCTATGGACGATTGGTTGAATATTTTGTGAAGCGTGGAGAAGAGGCCATGTTTGACCTTCACAATGGAAGCATGTTTTGTTGTAAAGTTATGTTGCAAATTCAAAAAAATCAACAAGAAGCTTCATCACACCAAGTTCGTCGGTATGACATACAAAGAAAAATTTTTGAGGTTGAAGAAGCTTTTAATCCCCTAACACAAAGGGGTGGACACAAATGGACAGTTATATTGGATAGAAGATTCTGCGAATGTGGAAGATTTCAGTCTTATCGATTTCCTTGTTCACATGTCATAGCCGCTTGTATAGCCGTGAGTATCGATTTTTGGCAATATGTGGATCCTGTTTATTCAATGCAATATGTTGTAAATGCATACTCCCCACAGTGGAAGCCCCTGGGAAATGAATGCAACATCCTTACAAACTGCGAATGGAAGTTAATGCCTGATGTTGACAGAGCAAGAGGTAAAGGCCGATCAAAATCAACTCGCATTAGGAATGAAATGGACTGGGTTGAGTCACAAACTAGACAAAGGTGTTCCAAGTGTAACGAAGTAGGTCACAATCGACGTCATTGTCCTCAACAAAACAATGTTGGTTGACCAAATCATACAATGTTGGTGTTTGTATTTTTTTTTTTATCTTGTGATATTGTTATTTATCGTAATTGTCATTAATTATTGTAATGAAACCATTAATGTTATATCAAGTGAAGGCACAAACAAATTAATAATTACGGTAAGCATTAAAGTCACTAACAGTAATATATGTTAACTAAAATAAGTTGCTACATAAAAACATGTCATTGCTGTCTCCCCCTGTGTGCCTCATGATGATGATCGTCTGGAGTCAAGATACATTGCCTCTGTCTATCTCGAGCTCCTCGATGAGGGTTCCGACGAACATATCCTAAATCAGCAACTGCACCAAACTCGGCATTAAGATCAATACCTAACTCTATAGGATGTATGTCTGATGGTATAGGGTCAACTTGACTGTATGGGGCACCTGGAGTCAAAAGCGAATGGTGCTCGTGAGGAGGTGTGAAAAAGAAATCAGGTCGTGGAATGTAATCTTCTGTTCCTGTAAAAGGTGATGATGGGTGTTCTGATGGATGGTGTGTACCCTGTGATGAATGGAAATAAGTCGGGGCTGTCATCAAACTAGATGGATGAAAAGGAAACTCTGATGGTATTGGAAAGACACCATCAGGTCGCTCTGGCATAACCGGGACAGCCCACTCTGCTGCCTGCACTTGTCTCCGTCGACGTGCCAAGCCTCTTCCTTCTCTTCGTTGATGCGGCTGATCTATGTGTAAGTCTGGATTGACAGGATTACCACTTTGTAGTGGTGGATCTGAGGTTGAAATAGGCTCTAATATGCGATCTTGCTCCTTCTTCAATGATAGAAGACTCTCAGACAAGTCCTTCAATTCATTAAAGGTAAAAGAATCTTGTCCATCAGTGCTCAAGTAATGCAATCTCTCCATCACATCACCCTAAAAATAGTCAAAAGTAACCATTACTGTAATTTTGTATATAAAACAGAAAGTAATAGTGCAAAAAGTATATATTTTTGTAAACATACCGACAAAGCTGATACTGCTGCCTCCCTGGTCATCCAACGACGAGTATGACTAACATACCATCGCATGTACTCTGAATTTGAGCTAAGTAAACCATACTGAGGCTCATTAGTCAAAACCCAAAGTCGTCTACTCTCCCAAATTTCTAACATAGCACTGAACTTGGCTGACCAATCTTCTCCAGTCTTCCCTCTGAGGGTAAGGTCATGTAGCTGGTCAGGTTGGTAAGGAGTCCTTGGTATGTGTTAAACCATACCAAACTGACGCATTACTCTATCAGGTTGATGCCACTCACATACCTGAAAACATATAAGTGGCACCACTGCCCTCCATAAGTCCATAGCATCTCTACAAATAGGTGGTAATATATTGATGAGTTCCATATTGTATGGCACCCACACAATCTGTATGATGACATACAAAACAGATTAATAACAAAAAATTACGTAATTAACATGTTATTTAAATAAGTAACTCAGCAAAAGTTGGCTATAATACCTCATCACGTGCTAGACGATCAAAAATATATCTGTAGTAGTGGACATCTTTCTTTCCCCTTCTGATTCCGTGGGATAACCATCTGCAAGTAATTGACCATAAAAACATGAAGTCAAACAAATAACAGTATAGAACACCTACAAATGCGTAGTGCTAGCAATAACAATACCAACTTACCTAACACCGTACGGAAGATAAGGACGACTATAGGGAGGATTGATAGGTGCTATCTGGGGAAATCTATCCCAAGCCCATATCACAATTAACGCAGTCAGTCCTCCAATAGCAACACGATCAATGTTGGTGGCCATGCATAGCTCTCGGTACAAATAACCTAGAACTGCAGAACCCCAACTATATTGACCGGTCAACTCAAAATCTTCAAGCAAAGGCAAGTACCTCAGAGATACCTTACTGCTAGAGTGATCAGGAAGCATGAACCCTCCAATAAGCCTCAATATATATGCCCTAGCAAACCGAGTGATCTGCAGTGGAGTCTGATTATGCATGGCAATATGAGTGAAGTGTTCGTCCAACCAGCTCATCTTCAAGAAACTCCCTACAAAAGCCTCTGATCCTGGTCTCATACCTAGGCTGTCTTCCACAATCTGAGCCCAATCACCCCCAGTGGGTGTTATAACAGGTGTCCCATCTATGCGTAATCCTAATATAATAGCAACATCCTGAAGGGTAATAGTACACTCTCCAGGGGGCATGTGGAAGGTGTGCGTCTCGGGCCTCCACCTCTCTACTAATGCAGTAATCAATCCCACGTCTACAGGAAGCTTAGACAAGTTAGTCACTCCAACAAAACCCGCTAATTCCAGATGTGGAATAATTTCTTCCGGAATACCTTCTAATCCACCGGGAATATTTGGACTCTTCCTAACTCTCAATGTCGGGTGATCACGTCCATCCCAAATATGCTTAGAAACATGAATACTCTGAAACCGAAGAAGTGATGGATCTTCTGGCCCAGGATTAATAACCCTACTTTGTTGTGAAGATGATGCCATCTATACAAAAAAAAAAATATTAGTCAAAAAATTTCATTCAATAATAATAATAATAATAATAATTTATATTTTACTAACATATTAATAATACATAAATTTTATATAAATACAATTTTAAAATTTTACTTCAATATAAGTGTAAAAATTATTTATTACAATCAAACTAAGTATAAATTATTATATTTAGTTTTATATATTTATTTTATTTAACTCAATTTTTATTATTCTGTATTTTAATAAATATCTATAATAATTCCTGTAAACAAATTTTATAAATCTTAATTTAACCTATCTTCTTAACAATTAATTATAATTTTATATTTTAATTAACTATATCACATTTCATTTTTTCTAAAAACATATTAATCTATATATAAATAAATAAAAAATTATTTAAATTTTAAATTCTTTTTTACTAATCTTTAATAAACTTTCAGTATATTCTTCACTAACTCTCACTTAATTACCAAATCACTTACATACGTAGAGTTTAAAAATATTACAATATTATTATCAGATTTTCTAATTAACAAAATCAAATTAAACATAATATATAAATGCATGTTGTTATAGTTCCATACCTCTTACAATCGTAGCAGTATTTGATCCTTCACAGCAAATCAAAACAAATTTTGAAACTTCGACGATGATAGAGGAGGAGGAGAGACGGAGAAAATGGACGACGAAAGAGGAGCAGAGACGGAGAACATGTAAATGGAAAGGAAGGAGGACGACGGTCAAAAGCGGTTTCGCCAGCTGCAGTGCGAAATGAGCTTTCGCCAGTAGCAGTGCGAATTATCTTAGATGTTGCCACGTGTATCAAAAGCCCCCATAGCCGTCCATTTTAAATCTAAGAGAGTGGTTCCAGCAGAACCGCTCTCTAATATGCACTTATGAGAGCGGTTAGAGCAGAACCGCTCTCTAAAATCGACTTATGAGAGCGGTTCAGAAGCAACCGCTCTCTTAAATGGACTTATGAGAGCGGTTCATTTGAACCGCTCTCTTAAATGAGTTATGAGATCGGTTCTGCTGGAACCGCTCTCTTAAATAGACCTATGAGAGCGGTTTTAATTTAACCGCTCTAAGAAGTCTTATTTCATTCTATTTCTGGCGAAATAGGTATTAAACAATTCAAAAATTACTACTTTCGCCAGCCGTTTGACGAAATTCTGTTTCACGTGGCAAAAATACCCCAGATTAGAAAATTGTTTCAAATTTTCTATAAAATAATAAATTATTTTTTAATTTACAATATTTTAATAAATTTGCCGAAAAAAAAAAGAAAGGAAAAGAGAGAAAACAAGAGTGAAAATACTAAAGATGAAGTATAAGAATATGTTCTCTCTCTCTCTATATATATATATATATTGTATAACATTACATCGTAAAGTATATTTTAAGTTAACATGTATTTATTTTCACTGATAATGGAAGTTGCCAAATTAACAGACACGTCTAGATGCGTCCAAATTGTACACGACTACTTGTGTAAACATGCTTTTAACAGATTATAAAATAAACAAACAAAAACACAGTTTGATGAACCCAGACTTTCAGCAGTTGCAAAGACAACTGCAGTTGGCGGTGCAGTTGTTATTGAACTGCCAGCATTCACAAAGTTATGTTCTTTAATATTTTATTTCATACAGAAGAAATAATTTTAAGGATTGAGAATTGTTCAACAGTTTAATAAAAAAACTACACATGATCCTCCACTAATACATATGGCCAAAAAGGGATTACAAAGAACTCAGATGTGTTAAAATGGGATCAAAGCAATAAAAGAACAAAACACTGTGGTAAGGTGATAGCCAAAATCCCAAGGTGACAACGTGTCATCACTTCTAATCAAGAGGGAAAAAACTAACTTTGATCCCAAAACAAAAATGGAAACGGTCAAACTCTGAATCTAACTGCGGCAACACAAGCCTACAGAACTAGCTATTGACTATGTTACCATATTCTGAAACCACTACATATGCACATATTATTATACATTGCACATTCTTATCAACAAGACAACGAAGTCAATCCTACACGCCTCCCTAATTGGCCAAAAAAGCAATGGAGGCGAATTCCGGAATGATCTACTAGTAGTAAGCAATTTAAAGTCTGAGATATCCCCATATATTAACAAGAAGTACTAGTGAGACAAGTACAATGGCAGAAACTGCAAGAACAGAAGACCACATGGCACGATTGTAGGAAATCTTTGACGTGGGACGGACCTTTCGGCCCGATAGAAGGTTCTTGGGCTCGGAGATGGATTCTGCAGTTGCAACGTGTTGCTGTAAAATCTTTTTCGTGTCAGCTGACTCAGGAGGTGCCTTTGGCTTCTCTGGCTTTGGTTTCTCTGGTTCATCAACATCATTAGTAACAGTGGAACTATCGGCAGCAAAATTGTTTTCTGAAACTTTGCTCTCCTGCAAAAGAGGACCACATGAATCTCACAACACATGCAGTGAAATATCTGAGTCAGATATGCAGGTTCAACAAATTTCTTACCACGGCAATGATGGTTTTTGAATTATGGTCTTCTGGTGCGCATGTCCCTACTGTTGGTATTACATTTGAACCAGGTGATTGCCTGACAAATCCTCCCAATCGTATTCTTCTTGGTGCAATACCTTGTGATATCATAGGGTTTGCGTTTGCCTGCTCATTTCGTCCTTGACGAGACCGTATTCTGATTCCAGTGTCGCCGTTAACAAATGCATCAAAGTTTCTTGATTGCTCATAATCATTGCCCACATTGTGCACTTGGCTGATTCTAGCATCAGTTGAGAAAGCCATTTGGTAATTGTTCTGAAATGATCCAATATTGTTCTTCTGTTCAAATGCATCCTTAGAATTATCAGCATGTAATGCTTGCAGATGCTGCAGCATGCAATAAAATTGACATTATACAAGTTGAACAAGGAAAGCATGCTACATAAAGTTATTAAACAGATATAATACAGTCATTAATTTAATTATTAGTTAGCATAAAAGAAGTCATTTTAATGGCAGAAACTTAGAATAACCAAATGATAAAAAGGGTTAGAGCCATCACTCACTGTCATATTGGCCATTTCCACATCTGAGTCACTGCCCGATCCATATTCCTTAACATTGATCAAGGTTGAGCTCAGGTCAAGACTGCTGGAATCGTCATGGGAGAATGCATCCCAATTAACAACTGAGTCAAAAAAGTCTGAAATATTTGGCTCATTTGTGCCATACAGAAGTTCTGGTTGATTGTTAGGCTGATAACTGAATTCTGGTGGGAAATGTGCGTGGACAGGAGAGAATAATTTGTCATCTAATTGCTGATTTATTGGGTCATAAAATATGTTCACATTCAGCGGCTGATCCTCCTGAAATAGTAAAAATCAAATATAGTTACTAAACCATTAATTTCAACGTCTGCAAATCATTTATAAAGGGGAAAGGGATGTGAAAACAATAGAAGAAGAGGAAGAAATCAAAGATTAAAACTCAGTCAGCCCATCTAACCTCCGCAACTGATTCTACAAGTTGGTATTGTGCATCATAAACATCACACCCGTCGCTATGGCAATCAACTGGGATTATCATGTTGGATACTGCTTCCTCAGAGTTCTCAGTTATAACTGCTAGAGGCTTATCATCTGTAACCTGTGAAGAAGATACTGGAACCAGAGCTGAATCAGATTGTATTTCTTCAGGAGAGTAATTGGCGGTCATAGGAGTTGAAGCAATCCGCTCCACTTCATCACCATTTGAAACTTCAAGACTCTCGTCTTGTTTCTTAAATAATCGACAAAGGACATATGGATTCTGTTACAAGTCAAACCAAACAAACTGAGAAGTCAGCCACATATCACCTTCATCATCATATAAATTCTTAGATTGTCATAAATTTCTGTAGCTTAATGCTGATAATTATATATAGATTTGTTGGTAGTACTCCATAAAGGTTACAAGAAGTTGGACCAGAGGTAATGGATACGGGTAAGAGTGCACTGAACTAGAAAAATGTAACACGAGAACAACAAGAAACATTCCAAATCAAAATAACTAGGTGGAGAATTAATTCAGACAGATTAAATACAATACTCAACATGGTTTGACTCAAAGTTAGAAAACAAGAACTTCTGATAGACATTAAAACCTAGAGAAGAATCAATTCAAACAAAAAAATTTCTGCTTTACCAATGAGTAAAAGTAGGAAAGTAGAGGCACAAAAAAACAGCACAACATTTTAAACACAACAGTGGAAAAAACTATACATCTATTACAGTTCACGACAACTCAAAGTCAAAACATCATGAGAAGTAAGATCAAAAGCAAAAATAAGAAACAATAAAAGTAGAAGATAAGAGCAGACCTGTCCAGGATTGGTACCATCAAGCTCCTTGAGGGTAGGCCTGTACTCATGCATAACCCAATTGGTCCTCTTCCCCTTGGGAGCACGACCAGTATAGAAAACCAGAGTCTTCTTCATTCCAATCAAGGTGGAGCTAGACTTAATCTTGCGATCCTTCCCTGTTGCTTTCCAATACCCATGATTCGTAGCTCGGTTCAACCGGTGCCCATTCGGATACTTCCGGTCCTGCGGACAAAAGAAGAACCACTCGGGATCCTTGTTCCGTACCACTGACAAATCTACAATACACAAATCCATTAACCAAGAACAAAATAAGCAAATCAAACAGCATAGCAACCTTCCATAGTAATGTTTATCACTAATTCCACATCTAATAATTCAAACCTTTTTCTTTCCACAGAAAGAAATTAACAAAACTTAGATACAAAATCATAAATATAACAATAAATACTGTTGTTGGTACTGTTCCCCCAATCAAACTCAGATTTCATCTCATTAATTGCCAAGCAGTATTTACAGAGATAAAATGCTAATTTTGGTTGGACAACAATACCAACTGAATTTAAGTTTTGTTAAAAAGAAATATCATAAAAAGATAATAATTCAGCTACAGTGTGAGAAAAATTAGTAAAGCAAAAGACCAAAACTTTCCCAATTATGAAGAAACCCCAAATGAAAGATTCAAAGAGAAGTGAAAAAAATACCAGGCAAATCCCAAGGCTCCCATTTGCAGACATCAATTTCACGGATGACCCAAACATCATCACCATTTCCGTTGATCTTCAAGCGCAGGTAGTAATCAATAAGCTCTTCATCGGTTGGACGGAAACGGAACCCTAACGGTAACGTGTTGAGAGACAACACCGCCAGCTCGTCCCCACGCGGTGGCGGGCAACACTCCACAATAGCACCCATCACAAATAAGCGCGTTTCCAAAATACCCAGAAAGCGAAAGAGAGAGAACGAGAGAAACTTTGAGGTAAAATAGCTGAAATTGAAGTGGGAATCGGAAGGATTCTAAGGATTATAAGTGCTTTTTGAGTTTTCCGTCACGGGTAAAGGAAGTTGCTGAGAAAGTGAAAAGAGAGAGAAGGTGGGTGAGTCATTGCTTCTTACACTACATGTATTGGCACATTGGTTGTTTCGTTGAATATAAATTCCTCGTATATGCACTGAATACAATGTATTCTGCTCTTGACCTCGTTTTTCGACTAAATCACAGGGTGATGCCAGCCCCTGAAATTTACAGTGGAGGGTAAAATGGGAAATAAGTTTTGCTGCGAAATAGGACTCAAAAGAGTTTGCCACGTGGCATCAATCGAGGCCTCTCATTTAACTTGGGGAGTAAGGAACTGGGAGTTACCAGTGTGAACGAGATGTGTTGCATACACAAAACGACAACGTCCACCAATTACCCACCTCAGCGTTTCTCTCTCTCTTACTACCTCTTCACTCGTCACTGTCCTTCTGTTACTTTTTCTTTTTAGTGCACAAGAACAAGATCACTCCCTTTTTATTTTATTTTATTTTTATTTATTTAGCCTGAAGATTAGTCTAAAAAATATCATCCTATTACTTTCTGCTTATTATAATTGTAGATTTTGTTTTTATTTTAAGGGCATGTTTTTATATTTTCTTTGTGAATCGCTAATGGGCAATGGTGGATGGCTCAATAAAGGGTAAAGCGATTGATGCTTTTTGCATTTCTTTCTCTCTTTAATACGTTGGTCTGGTTGGATTCTCTGTGGAGGAACTTAAAGTACAAACCATAAATAGTTTTTATTAATGACATTTAAATCATCATGACCTTATTTTAAAACTTTTAAGTTTACTAACAATGATTATTTAATTAAAATTAAAGTAAACTTGACATTACAAAAGGTCATTTTGTTAGTGACATTCTATTAATGACAATTATAGTTGAAAATTACTAAATTTACTAACAATCTATTTTAATTAAGATTCTATTTCAGTATAGTTATATTTGTTTCGTAAATGAAGTTAAATAAATAAATTATTGAATGTCTCATATTCTTATGAATATTTTTAAATTTGATCAATATTTTAAAATGTAAACTAATATAAAAATATCTGAAAAAATTGAAATTATAATGAACATATTTGATAACTAGTTTATGTAAAATTTTAAATGCAGTTTAAAATATAAACAAGATTTAAGATTTAAAATATGTATGCATAATTCAGAAAAAAAATCAAATTTTAAAACTTAAAAATATTGTTTATAATTTTCTAAGAAAGGATAATATAAATAATTAAGATTGAAGCTTCTTTAAAAGTATTTGAAAATTAAGAGAAAACAAAATTTTTATTGACGAAAAAATATAAATCCATAATTAAACTAGATCCAGAGATCTGAATTTATATTAGAAAGAAGGAAAAACAAAAAAATAGAGCGCGGAAAGAATGGTTACAGAAATACAACAACCAAAACAAATACTAACTAAAAAATCTATATGGTAGGAGCCGTAGGATGAATGAAAATATTGCTCCAAGTAGTTTGAGCTTCATGATGGTCAGGCCCAGAAGTAGATACTTCATTATTCCGTGCAAGCTAGAGGGTGCTCAGATGTCGAGAACACCTAGCTTGGATAAAAAGGAATGAAACGTAGTTGTAAAGAAATCTGCAATCTGATTATGAGTAGAAATAGGAAGTAAACGGAACAGACAAGCAAGTAGCTTCTCACGAACCAAATGGCAATCAATCTCGAGATGCTTGGTGCGCTCATGAAAAACAGGATTATAAGCGATGTAGATGGCACTCTGGTTATCGTAAAACAAAACAGGAGGCTTGTGATATTGAATATGAAGATCTCGAAGAAGATAGTTAAGCCATTAAAGCTCACAAACAACAGAGCCAAGAGCATGATATTTAGCCTTTGTAGAAGAACGAGCAACTATTGTTTGCTTCTTAGAATGCTAACTTACAAGGGAATTACTAAGAAAGAAACAATAGCCACTGATAGATCGTTGAGTATCAAGACAATGACCCTAATCTGCATATGAAAAATCAACCAACTGAGTAAAAGATTTTCTGGGAAAGAAAAGAACCAAGCCTAGTGCCTGTTTAAGATAACAAGCAATACAAAGGGCAGTCGATGGTGCGTCATAGTAGGGGCTGCCATGAACTGACTGACTTGCTGAGTGGCAAAAGTAATATCAGGGCGTGTGAAATTGAGGTACAAAAGGTGACCAACTAGTCTTCTATAGGAAGAAACATCAAGAAATAACTTTGCCTTATCCTGATAGAGCTTAATAGCTGGATCCAGAGGAGTAGTAGCAGGTTTGCAATCAGTTAAAGCAGTATCTTTAAGTAAATCAAGACAATACTTTCTTTGGGACACTGAAATACCAGAAGTAGTGTGGGCAACTTCCAAACTAAGAAAATCCTTCAAAATTCCTAAGTCCTTGATACCAAAAGTAGTATGTAAATGAGACTTAATAGAATATAAGTCAGTGGTAGAAGTACCAAACAAAAGGATGTCATCAACATACACAAGGATACCCAAGAAAGAAGAAGAATTATATTTGAGAAAAGGGAAATGATCAAATGAAACTTGAATAAAACTGTGATAACGTAAGAATTGAGACAACTTTTAATACCACTGCCGGCTAGCCTGTTTGAGGCTATACAGAGATTTTTCCAATTTGCAAACCTGACTAGGAGAAGTACCGTTAATCCAAAAGACAAAGTCATATAAATGTCTTCTTGAAGGTCACTGTGAAGGAAGACATTATTGACATCTAGTTGGTGTAAGAACCAATTATGAGAAGCAGCCAATGCCAAAACAACTCTGATAGTAGTGACTTTAGCAACATAAGAGAAAGTATCGAGGAAATCTAAGCCTTCAATATGATTGTAGCCTTTAGCTACTAAACGTGCCTTGTACTTTTCTATAGTGCTATCTGGTTTTCTCTTGATCTTGTAAACCCATTTGCAGTCAATGGGTTTGACATCAGTAGGAAGAGTAACAAGAGACCAAGTTCCATTCCCTTCCAAAGCTGCCAATTCAAGTGTCATAGCCTGTTTCCAACAATCAAATTTGTTGGCCTCTGTATAAGTTCTAGGTTCTTGCTCTAGACCAATAGAGATACCAAAAGCAGCATGTGAGCAAGAAAGAGAAGAATAAGAAAGAAAAGAGCTAAGAGGATAGGGAGTACCTGAAGAAGTTCCTGAAGAAGATTGTGTTTGAGAGCGTGTGGTGATTGTATTATAAACATATTGATCAAGGTAAGGAGTCAAGAGAAAACACGAGTGAATTTTTGAAGAGTGACCTCCGGAACTACAGGAGGGGATGTAGAATCAGTAGGAGCGAGAAGTGAAACTTCATGTGGAAGTTCAGACACAATAACTAGAATAGGTGAATCGTGAACATCAGAAGGGGTAACAGAAAAGGTAAAAAATAGTTAAATCTGGTAAAATAAAAGGATTATTGGTTGGTATGAGTTGAGTGAGTGAGAGAGAAGAAGAAAGATCTATAAGATCAGTAAAGGTAGGTAAAGAAGTGTCAGATAAATGAGGAACATCTGAATTAGAAATAGTAATACAGATTGGAGATAAATTAGATTGAAGGTAATGATAAGGAAAAATATTTTCAAAAAAATGAACATTCCTACTAACCTGAAGAGCTTTTCTTTGAAGATCATAAAGCAAATACCCCTTGGTTCCTTGCTTAAATCCCACAAAAATACATTTGTAACTTCTTGAATCAAACTTAGACCTGTGAGCCTTCAAAGAAGAAGCAAAACACAGGGAACCAAAAACCTTGAGATTTAAAAGATCAGGTTGTTTAGAATGCAACATCTCATAAGAAGATTTATTTGATAAAACCAAACTTGGTATTCTATTTAAAAGAAAAAAAGCATGAGCTGCTGCTAAATCCCAAAAATATTTAGGTAATTTAGCCTGAAAAAAAAGACATCTTGCAACATTTAAAATAGTTTGATGTCTTCTCTCAACCTCCCATTCTGTTGTAGTGTTTCCACACAGGAGGTTTGATGCAAAATACCAAATTTTTGACAAATAGATGCTAGTTTAAATTCTGTTCCATTATTAGTCCTTACAATCTTAACACATTTACCAAATTGAGTTTGAACCATGTAAATGAATGTTTCAAGATGATATATCGTTTCTGATTTATGCCTTAAAAACACAATCAAAATATGTCTTGAAAAATCATCCACAATGGTTAAAAAATAGTTATGTTTTTGCAAAGTTGGTACACTATAAGGACCCAAAACATCCAAATGTATTAACTCAAAAGGTTCAGATGCATTATGAGGACTAAGAGAAAAAGGAAGCCTCTTCTGTTTGGAAAAATAACAGATATCACAAATATGAAATTGATTTTTATCACTAATATATGGATACATGGAAGACAAAAGTTTCATCCTAGAGGAGGATACATGTCCAAGTCTAAAATGCCATAAGGCAGAAGGAGAAAAATAAACTAATAAAGTACATTTTAGACTAGAACAATCATAAACAACATTATTGATGGAAGGTTGAGAATGTATGATTGATGGACTACTGTGAAGAGTATATAATTCACGCACAAGATCAGCAGAACCAACCTTCTTCAAGCTTCTCAGATCCTGCATAATACAAATATCTGAAAGTAAGATAATGACACAATATTGATGTTTGGCTAATTTAGGAGCAGAAATAAGGTTGATAGAAAATTCAAGTAAGAATAAAACATCTAAAAGTGTGAGATATGAAGTAACAGGAACATTTCCTGAATGAGTAGCAATAGATGAAACTACCATTAGGAAGTTTGACAGAAATAGAAAAAGATAAAGAACGAAAAACAGAAAATAAAGATTTGTCAAAACAGATATGATCTGTTCCACCAGAATTTATGATCCAAGTGCTGGTGTTGTTGCTCTAGAAAGTACAAACAAATGTATTACTTGAATTGTGAATGGGATCAATATCTCTAGTGGTTAGAGCAACAACTTGTGATTAAGGAACATTACCAGTCGAATTTGCTTGTTGTAACAGAGAAATAACATCTTTGTATTTTTCAGCTGACAAAGAGAATGAAGCTTCTAAACCTACCTTAATAGAAGTTTGATCATCATCATTAACAACAGAAGATTCTCCAACAATATTGTTTGAAGAACGAAATTTTTTCTCTGAAGATGGACCATGTAATTTGTAACAAAAATCCTTGGTGTGACTAGGACGCTTGTAATGATCACAATAACGATAATTTTTCCCTTTGGAATTACCATAGTTTTTGTTCCTAGAATCTGAAGCATTCACAAAAGCCTGAGAATCATCTATAATATTCAGAGAAATTCGCCTTTCTTGTTGTAAAACCAGAAAAAAAAAAAAACACGATCCAAAGGAGGAAATGGTTCCATTATAAGTATTTGAGTTTTGACAACATCGACTTCATCGTTTAAACTAGCAAGAAATTTCATGACATAATTTTCACTACAATAAAGTTTTCCACAAGTACTTGCTACACAAACACAACGTACTGAACAAGAACAATTAGGAAAAGGATGAAAGCTCTCAACCTCTTCCTAAAGAGTACTCAACTGAGTGAAGTAATCAGTAACAATATAAAGACCTTGTTTGAAATTCAAAATTTCTTGTTGTAATTTAAAGATTCAAACACGATCAACTTGTAAAAACCTATCTTTCAAGATTTTTCAAACCAAAAAGCTAAATCTACATAACTGATGCTTCGAGCAATCGGTGAATCAACAGACTTTAAGATCCATGAAAGAACAAGATTATTACATCGTTCCCATGCTTCAAGAGACGGATCAAAATCATCAGTAGGCTTAGGAAGATTTTCATTAACAAACCTGAACTTATTCTTGGAGATGAGAGCATGCATCATCAAACGTGCCCAAGCATGATGATTTTTGCTCGAAAGAAGATGAGAAACCAAAGCTTGACACAGATTCTCGCTAGGATGCACATAGTAAACACTCAATTGATCTGCAACAGGATTAATCAGAGGAGGAACTTGAGGGGCTAGTCGCGGAGGCATGACAAAAAATGAAGAACAGTAGAAGTAGATGCTTAAGGATCTAACCAAAAAACAACTGATACCATAAAAGTATTGAAAAATTAAGAGAAAACAAAATTTTCATTGATGAGAAAATATAAATCTATATCTAAACTAGATCCAAAGATGTGGATTTATATTAGAAAGAAGGAAAAAAAATAAGAGCGCAGAAAGAACGGTTGCAGAAATACAACAACCAAAACAAATACTAACTAAAGATTCTATATAGTAGAAGCCGTAAGATGAATAGAAATATTGTTGCAAATAGTTTGAGCTTTATGATGGTAAGGCCCAGAAGTAGATACTTCATCTTAAAAAAATTATTTTAAATTAATATATAGGAATTTATAAAATTTAAAAGAAAAAAAAAGTTGACAATGAAGTGTGATTTTTCTAGCAATAGTAATAAATTAGGAGATCAAATATTTCTCCTTCCCTTTTTTATCTAATTTTTTTAATAAGCAGAATAAGAAATACTTAAAATCTACGTAGAAGAAAGTTAATTACAATGATTAATATGTAGTTTTAAATTTTTTACTTAATCCAAATATAGAACTCTCTTATTTTTCAATTGCGCATAGACCCATCTTTAGTATATAAATTTAATTTACTCTATCAGTTTCATCACATCCAAAAACTTTAGAATTAAACAGAGTCTTATTTTAATGTAACTAAATACTCTACAGTACAGTCATTCATTCAGAATATAATCACTTTCTACCTTCTCCCACCATATATTAAATGAAAAATAACTAATCTAATTTAATTGATTTTACTCAAAATATAAAATTATTTAAAATTGTATCATTGTATGGCAAGTTTAAACGAATTCATTAAACTATATTAGCACAAATTAATCCACTTGGTTTAAAGTTTCATTGCATCGCATTAATTTATTTCGTTTTAATAGAACTTGGTCTATAGATTGTGTGATCTCCGTATGACGGTCGATATAATTAAGGCCTATAAACAAGGCCAGTCTAATATAAAGGTAGAGAAAATTTGGCTCAAGGTAAAATAAGATATTTTTAAATAAATACAGATAATACAAAAATTTACAGTAATGTAATAATAATTCAAATTAATATTAAAGAAAGAATCAAATTGATGTTACTTTCAACTTAATCAATGAACATATAATATCTGTTTGACATTTGTATTTTTTTTAGGTCATTTATTTGTGTCTTGGTTTATATTTTAACAAAGAAGGTATACAAGTTTTATTATTTTTCAACCTACTTTCATTCCAAAACAAAACACAAATCTGAAAATTTTTAATTTAGGGGTTGCTTGTTTACAGTTACACGTTCCAAAATCAAATTTCAAAACAAAGATGAATGGTTAAAATAAAAGGTACACACTGTCCTATGAGTGGTAGAAGAATTTTTTCAATTGTAGTAGAATCAATTCTATGTTCTGTCTGACCAATCAGGCCCTTGTCATCAGCGCGATTTAGACACATGCTAATGTGGTTCTCCACAGTCAAGACCCCAATCTTCTACACTAATTTATGGAAGGAAACCACTGTATCATTATCATTCAACGTATTTCAATAATCCATTTCAAATGTGAAAGAACACAGAGACAGTGGGAGAATGATATAACATGGAAGAGCTTTGAGTTTGGAGAGGATAGGAAAACGAAAACCTTCCAAAGAAAGAATATTTCACAAAAGTCTATACATAAGTACATAAATCATTAGTGTAAAAATCACTTTTAATGCTCTCCTTTCCAGTAAAAAAATCACTTTCAATATTAATTAAAAATTATATTTAATATTAATTAAAAATAAATGTAGATATAACTGATAATAATAAGTCAATTTTTTTATCCTAATTTAACAAATAATGTAAAAAATGTCATTTTTTATATTAATTATAAATAAGTAATTTTAAAAATATTCTACTTATCAATTTTTTTGACAATTTAACATGTCGTTCTTTAATATTATTAATGTTGGTTATCAATTACATCAATGTTTATTAAAATTTTTTATTATTATTGACTCCGTAAATGAAAAATATTCAATATTTGTCAATGTTATGTACCAAAATAATTGTGTTAAATGAAAAAAAAAAAATTAGAGTAAAATTTATTGTTATGTCCCTAAATAAATATAAGTAAAAGTTTGTGTTTATTAATTATGTAATCAACAATGCTAATTAAAGTTCGAGAATATAAGTTATTTTTCAAGTTATGTTATTTCAATTGAAGCGTCTATTTCTAAAATCTTACATTTTAATTTTTTTTACATTGATTATAAAAAAAATTAATTTAAAAATGACATTTTATATTAATTCTCAAAACAATTAATATAAAAAGTTATACTTAAATTAATTTTTATATTAATTTAAAATATAACCAATGTAAAAATTACTTTTTATGTAAGTTATTTAGTAACTAATCTAAAAGGTTATGTAATTTTTTATTTTATAGTTGTGAACTTTGGAGAAGTATAATTTTTATCACGTCTTTGACTTATATAGATTATATGTAAATTTGTTGTGGGGTCTCAACAAATTTTTTTAAAATTTTAATGTTTTTCCCATTTATGTAATTATATATCTTTATATAACTTTTTAGATTTATTCAATCAAACACTCGATAATAAAATAAAATAAACAAAATTCAAACTAGATATAATAATAAAATAAAATAAAGGCAATTTGTACATAAAAATTAAGTGTCTTGATTAAAATTTTTTTTATGACTAATATTATTGATAAAATATTTCAATCCTCAACAAGGACATCAAAAACTTAATAATTATGTAACAAGTGCGTCAAATCGTTTAAGTAATAACTATAATAAGCGGGTATCATTCTCCAAAAATTGACTTATCAAACAATACTTTATTAGTCAAATTTTTATTTAGATAAAAACAATTTTGATTGAAGAATGCTCTAAACTTACAATTAAAACAAAATAAAGATTAAAAATTAAATAAATAATAACTTCAATAAACAAAGAGTGATCTCAAAGTTCAAAATACCAGAGATTAAAACGGTCTAAATTTTTTTTAATTTTTGTTGAATTTATAATGCTATATTTGGGAGTTGTGTTTAAAAAGAGAGAAGTATTAACCTTTATTTAGGAGTTATTTAATTACGAGGATAATAGTTTAAAATTTTTTCTAAACTCTTCAAAGCTCTCTTAACATTAATTTTTTGAGTTCTCTAATTAATAAGTTTTCTCTTTTTTACTTTCTTGTACTTTTTTTCTGTTAAAATTCTATTTTTTTTTAAATGTCAATTTTTCAAGTGAAATTCTTTTTTAAAAATTTATAAAAAAATATTAGTTTTAAAAAATTATTAATTTTTAGAAAAAGAATTTTTTTTATAAAAATAAAAAATATAAAGTATAATAATATCATTTATAAAATTAATCTTCCATCACCGTCTACTCTCGATATTAAACATTTAAATAAAGAAATAGTTTAACTTTCTCCCTCCTTTTCACTTCCCTCCTTCCCCTTTCAAACCTTTTTCTCACTCTCCAAACTCTCAAACAAAGTTTTAAAACACTTGAATGGAAAATTTGGTATTAATGAAATGATTTTAAGTGAATAAACTCCAATTCCTTAGTAAAACAATTCTCCTACTTTTGACAAAATATAATAATTCATAGAAAATATTTCAAAACAAATATAGATTAAGTGTAACAATTAATCCATAAATCACAAAAATTCAAGAAATATTCTTAAACCTTGAAGTTCATCATTTGAGCTATACACAATTTTTCAAATTATGTAAAAACCCTAATCTAATTATAAACAACAACTCATAATCTTTGTATATATATAAAAAAAAAATATAAACAATTAATCCAAGAAATTCAATATCAAAACACTAAAAATTCAATCCTAATACACCTATTTCTTTTTGAGTTCTCCTCATCTTCTGGGATGCCAAAAGTCGATACTTTTCTTCTATTTACGCAAAACATAATTTGATAGCTCGCTGTGGGAGCCTAGGTGCTTGGTGTTGGGCACCTAGGCACCAAGTCACTCGATAGCAAAATGAAATCAACAAATGCAGTGCTTGAGCGGTGGAAGTTTAGAGCTCATAAATCCATCAAAGTGCCAAGAAAAATGCAATAACATAAACAATTAACAAAAAAAAAACATCAAAAACACCTATCAAAGGTAATTTTAAAAGGGCTTTGGATAGCTTTAAACTCTTAAAATTTCAACAACTTAATGAAACATCAAGGACTCCGATGATAATCGGCAATCGTGGGAGTTGAAGGAATCATATCCGCTTTATCATCAATTGAACCTTCAAGACTCATATGATAATTGGAAACCGTAGGAGTTGAAGCAATCATCTCCACTTTGTCACCAACTGAACCTTCAGGACTCCAATGATAATTGGCAATCGCGGGAGTTGATGCAGCCATATCCACCTTATCACTAATTGAACCTTCAAGACTCTTATGATAATTGAAAATTGTAGGAGTTGAAGCAGTCATCTCCACTTTGTCGCCAATTGAACCTTGAGAACTCCAATGATAATTAGCAATCGTAGGAGTTGAAGTAGGCATATCCACTTTATCACCAATTGAACCTTCAAGACTCTTGTGATAATTGGAAATCGTAGGAGTTGAAGCAATCATTTCCACTTTGTCGCCAATTGAACGTTCAAGGCCCTTATGATAATTGGCAATCGTAGGAGTTGAAGCAGTCATATCCCCTTTATCACCAATTGAACCTTCAAAACTCTTAGGATAATTGAAAATCGAAAGAGTTGAAGCAGCCATTTCCACTTTGTCACCAATTGAACCTTCAAAACTCTTATGATAGTTGGAAATCGTAGGAGTTGAAGCAGTCATCTCCACTTTGTCGGCAATTGAACCTTGAGAACTCCAATGATAATTGGCAATCGTAGGAGTTGAAGTAAGCATATCCACTTTATCACCAATTGAACCTTCAAGACTCTTATGATAATTGGAAATCGTAGGAGTTGAAGCAGTCATTTCCACTTTGTCGCCAGTTGAACTTTCAAGACCCTTATGATAATTGGCAATCGTAGGAGTTGAAGCAGTCATATCCACTTTATCACCAATTGAACCTTCAAGACTCTTAGGATAATTGAAAATCGAAAGAGTTGAAGCAGCCATTTCCACTTTGTCACCAATTGAACCTTCAAAACTCTTATGATAATTGGAAATCGTAGGAGTTGAAGCAGTCATCTCCACTTTGTCGGCAATTGAACCTTGAGAACTCCAATGATAATTGGCAATCGTAGGAGTTGAAGTAGGCATATCCACTTTATCACCAATTGAACCTTCAAGACTCTTATGATAATTGGAAATCGTAGGAGTTGAAGCAGTCATTTCCACTTTGTCGCCAGTTGAACTTTCAAGACCCTTATGATAATTGGCAATTGTAGGAGTTGAAGCAGTCATATCCACTTTATCACCAATTGAACCTTCAAGACTCTTAGGATAACTGAAAATCGAAAGAGTTGAAGCAGCCATTTCCACTTTGTCACCAATTGAACCTTCAAAACTCTTATGATAATTGGAAATCGTAGGTGTTGAAGCAGCCATTTCCACTTTGTCACCAATTGAACTTTCAAGACTCCAATGATAATTGGCAATCGCGGGAGTTGAAATAGCTATCTCCACCTTATCACTGATTGAACCTTGGAGACGTCTACGATATAATCGACAAAGGTGATATGGAGTCTGTGGCAAGCCAAAATCAACCACATTAAAAAGTTAGCAACACATCGTCATATAAATTCTTAAACTGTCATAAATTGCAGTAGCTTTATGTTGATTAATATACATAGATCTGTAGATAGTACTGCAGAAACGTTACAAGCACTTGGATCAGAGGAAAAGGAAATGTGAGAGGGCATTGAACTAGAAAAATGCAACATAGATAGATAGATAGATAGCCATTACAGTTCACATGACAACAATTCAAAGTCAAAACACCATAATAAGGAATATCAAAAATAAAAAATAAGAAACAATAAAAGTAGAAGATAAGAGCACACCTGTCCAGGATTGGTACCATCAAGCTCTTTGAGGGTAGGCCAGTACTCATGCATAACCCAATTGGTCCTCGTCCCCCTGGAAGCACGACCAACATAGAAAACCAGAGTCTTCTTCATTCCAATCAAGGTGCAGCCGGACTTAATCACGCGATTCTTCCCTGTTGCCTTCCAATACCCACTATCCGTAACTCGGTAAAACTGGTGCCCCTTTGAATACTTCCGATCCAGCCGACAGAAGAAGAACCACTCTGGATCCTTGTTTCGTATCACTGACAAATCTACAACACCAACCACAAACCCAGTAAACAATAGTAAAATTAGCAAAACAAACAGCATAGCCACCTTCCACAGTATTGTTTCCTATCAATTCCACATCTAAACTATTGTTCTTTTTATTCACAAAAAGAAAGTTACATAATGCAGTTGCTACTTTTCTTCAATCAAAATTAGATTTCATCTCCTCAGCGTTTTGGAAATTAATTAAAAAGCTATAAGCGTGAATTCAATGCATATGCTACAACTAGTAATACTGAAATAAACCTGGATGCATGCTCATTCAAACATGAAACAAAACATACTATTAACCGTTGAGCTGTGTTTGTTTATCAAGTCCATTTTGATAAACAGCACATACTATATTTAATTTTTGGTACGAAAATATCTAAAAAAAATAAAAATCAGCAACGGTGTGAGAAAAAATGGTAAAGCAAAGCTTTGCCAATTATGAAGAAACCCCGAATGAAAATTTGAACGAGAAGAGAAAAAATACCAGGCAAATCCCAAGGTTCCCATTTGCAGATATCAATTTCACGGATAATCCAAACATCATCGTCATTTCCGTTGATCTTCAAGCGCAGGTAGTAATTGATAAGCTCTTCATCGGTGGGATGGAAACCCCCCACAACATCGCCCATCACAATTAAGCTCGTTTATGCAACACCCAGAAAGCCAAAGAGAGAAACTTTGAGAGAAAATTACTGAAATTGAAGGGGGAAACAGAAGGATTATAGGTGCTTTTTCAGTTCTCGGTCACGGGTAACGGAAGGATTATATCTGTATATTCAACATTCTTTGCAGTTTCCGCGCTCAAATTTTATCATCTAATTTATTAAATTTTATCATCTAATTTGTAAATGTGTAATTTTTTTTATTTATACTTAAAAAATATATTAAATTTTAGAATCAAATTATTTGATCAACTATCAAATAATTTTTCTATTAATTTTGATTATGATCATGAATATATAAATATTTAAATTAGATGATAAAATTTGATTATAAACATATAAATATTCAAATTAAATTCTGATTATGTAACAAGCCCTAGATAAACAAGAAGCAAACAAAGTGAGAAAGCAAGGCATGTTAGCCCATGAAATTTGCTTCATACTAAACACTTGTAAGTAAGATGAAAGAGCAGCACATGTCACCCAATGAATTTCATTTTCCTATTAGTAAAGAGAAGGGTAGAGGGATGGATAAGAATGCTTCAGATTATACAACAACAATTGAATCGGATTCTATTTTTTCCGAGAGTTATTGGCAAATCTTAATACTTTCTTTATGATAAACAAACCCAAGAAATCTATTTTACTTATTAAAAAACTAATTTTAATTAGTAAAATGGTTAGAATTTTTATTAAGAAATCTATGATATAATCGTGTATGTTAGAATTTTTTTACCACTACTTTAATTAGTACTTTTTTAAACATTGCTTTTTAGTTATTAGCTTAAAGTATTTTTTATATTTTTATTTGTATTATTTTTTAAGGATTCTTGTTCCTTTAATTTCTAAAACTTTATTATCTTCTTTTATTTTTGTGTTTAAATTTTTTAAATTAATTTTGTTATTAGTTTTATTAAAATGTAACAAAATCCTTAAATTAAATTTTTATAATATAAAATCATCAAAATAATAATATAAATTAATTCATATTAACTTATTTTATTTGATAAAAATATTTTAAAATAAGAATAAAATTAAAAAATTATAATTTATTAAAAACACGATTATTAAATTTTAAATTCTGAACTAATAGTTGATGGTATTCTTATATATGATTTTACATTTATCAATTAATATTATTGAACAATTTATTTAAATCAACTAAATTTTTCTTTACCAAAAAAATCAACTAGTTTTTTAATTTTTATTTTTCTACTTTCAATACCTTAAACTTATCCATCACACACTATTGTTTCCCCATGCGATGGGAGTTTATAGGTACATAAGTTGAAGGACGATATAGGAAATTAGCATAAACAAACACCAATAATGAAAAAACAAAAATAGGGTGGGGTTCCAAATTCCAAAACCCTTCTAATAACCCAACTCAAATTCTATTGCAGTTTTTGTTATCCTTTCTAGCTTCAACAGAGGCTGGTCACTCAACCATTATTGTAAGTTCATCTCTATCTCTATCTCAATCTCCTCAACATTCTCACTGCCTTTAATTTCCCTTATTATCCATGACAAAGGGTTGTGAATTTTCATTTTTTGCTTTTTGGATGTTTTGCCCCATAATTTTAAAATGATTCTATCCTCATACTGAACTTTTGGAGTTCTTTTCCATTTTCCACCTCATTTGTTAAATGTTTGTAATTTTGTGCTAGGTTTCAATTATGGCTCAACCAAGTGGTTGATACCGTGTTGTTTCTGCAGATTCAATGGTCCCTTGAACCTTGAAAACATGAGAGTAATAAGCTTTTCTGCTGGCATAACAAAACCCAGTTTTTTGATTGGCCAAACAGAAATGCCTATTCTAACATTTGGTCATTCTAAGTTGAGTGCAACCCTAGCACTTAGGTTGCCATGTAACTGCATTAAGAGAATGGGGTTGATTACAAGGCTTCAGTATTCTGTTGCTGATAGAACATTGACTTCTAGCTCTGTGGATTCGCGTGTGTCTAAAACAACGGATTCCGGTAGAATCAATCGGAGGCGTGGTGGGTCCTCATCGCTGTATAGTCGTCCTAGTTTATCAGAAATGAAGAAAGAGAAGGAGGCAATAAGGGAAAAGGTTTATGAGTTCCTTAGGGGAATTGGCATTGTTCCTGATGAGCTTGATGGGCTTGACCTTCCTGTGACAGTTGATGTTATGAGGGAGCGCGTGGATTTTCTTCACAGTTTGGGGCTTACAATTGATGACATAAACAACTATCCACTTGTTCTTGGCTGCAGCGTCAAGAAGAACATGATTCCTGTGCTTGATTACCTCGGTAAATTGGGAGTCAGGAAATCCACAATCACGCGGTTCTTGCAGCGATACCCACAAGTGCTCCATGCTAGTGTGGTTGTGGATCTTGCACCAGTGATCAAGTATCTTAAGGGGATGGATATCAAGCCTGATGATATTCCTCGTGTTCTTGAGAGGTACCCTGAAGTGTTAGGATTTAAACTTGAGGGAACCATGAGCACATCAGTTGCCTACTTGGTTGGAATTGGTGTAGGAAGAAGAGAAATTGGAGGTGTCTTAACTAGATACCCAGAGATTTTGGGGATGCGAGTTGGTAGAATCATCAAGCCTTTTGTTGAATATCTGGAAAGCTTGGGAATTCCAAGGTTAGCCATTGCTAGACTGATAGAGCAACGACCTTATATTATTGGATTTAGGCTGGATGAGAAGGTTAAGTCAAATGTCAAATCCCTTGAAGAGTTTAATGTTAGGCAAACATCACTTCCATCTATAATCGCTCAGTATCCTGACATCATTGGAACTGACTTAAAGCCTAAACTTGTCAATCAGAGAAGTTTACTCAATTCTGTACTTGATTTGGATCCAGAGGATTTTGGCAGAGTTGTTGAGAAGATGCCACAGGTAGTTAACCTCAGCAGTGAACCTATGCTGAAGCATGTTGATTTTCTTAAGGGCTGTGGATTTTCCTTGCAGCAAATGAGGCAGATGATTGTTGGATGCCCTCAATTACTTGCTTTAAACATTGACATCATGAAACTTAGCTTTGATTACTTCCAAATGGAGATGAAAAGGCCTTTGGAAGACTTGGTTACTTTCCCAGCATTTTTCACTTATGGTCTGGAGTCAACTATAAAACCTAGGCATAAACTGGTTGACAAGAAAGGATTGAAGTGTTCTCTGTCATGGATGCTTAATTGTTCTAATGAGAAATTTGATCAACGAATGGACTATGATACTATTGACATGGAAGAGATGGAAATGGAACCATCCTTTGACATGAATTCACTGATTCAACCAAGGAGTGATGAATCAGATTCTGATTATGAAGATAGTGATGAGGATAATGAGTAGAATGATTATATTGCTTTGATAACTAGTCCTCGTGGGAGAATTTTTATCTTCTTTTGATGACCTATAGCTGGTAGTTTCTATGCTGTGTCATTAGAAAGGTAAATTATTATGTGAATACAGGTGAAACATTTTCAAGTGTTTGTATCCAAATTTGACACCTGTTTATGTGATATGATATTGAGTTTACTATTCTTTTGTTTTAAGAATTCACCTCCTATGGGTTTCTATTCACTCTTATACAAGTAGAGCTACTGATCTCCTCATCAACCATAATATTGTAGCACAAAAATTCTATGGATTTTTGAATTGCTTAACTCAATGAATAAGCTTTGACAATATGAGAGTGTTTATGTTCTTTTTAGCAATCACTTTTTCGGATTATAATAATAATCATCATCATCATTATTGTCGTAGTTGTTGTTGTTGTCATTATTATTACTATTAAAATAGCTTTTCAGCTAAAAGCTCTTATGTATCATTTTGATTATAAGATTTTTCAGATGTAAAATCAGTTGAACCAAACTCGGAAAGTCATTCCATTTTACTTGCTCTTTCTCCTCTTACACTGTTCACCTTCATTTTGTATATTTTTTATGCTCATTGTAGTTTTTTCATGTTTGCATTTTGAAAAATATTTATAGAAAGGATGAAGACCAGTTCCATGGTTTTTGCATGTAATAATGTTACTGAGCTTAAAATGAATGAAATCTCAGTATGTCGCCCATCTGTCCATGTATGTTAACTTGGAAAGGAAGAATGAGAAATTTCATAAGCCAAGTTCATTGTTTATGGTCATGCACGGGTATGTTTTGTTGAGTTTAGGCATGTAAGCTCATGATGTAGTCATTGAACTTTCCCACTTTGATATTTACATTTGATATTTTTATGTTTTTATTTTATTTTATTTTATTTTATCTTGCAAATGTTATCATGTAGTAAACATGATTGTTTCATTTTCTTTGCCAATCATCACCCTTTCCTACTGTCTGGTAGCTTATTTCCTTCTTTTCGTTTTATGCTTGAATTGTAATATGCATCACATTTCTATTCTGGCCTTCAGCTAGCCCTGATATAACAAGGACCACAGTGACATGTTCTGCTCCTGGAAACCAGCTTAGAGATATGTTTGAATGGTGAAGGGGGTACTTGATGTCTAAGAATAGAAAGCATAGTACTTGAGTTTTATTCCTTTCTCTTGGTGCTTGTTATTAGTTTGTTATTTTTTGTTGACAGAAAAGGCCCTGCTAAGCTTAGAGGTTGGCATTATCTTATTCTTCTTTAATGTGCTTTTGTACTTTTATGTGTAAACAAATTTATCTTGTTTCTTCCATGCTATTACTAATAAGGGAACCTGGAGTCCCTCTTGAATTTGGTTGAAAAGGGGGATGTTCATTTAATTACATTTATTTGTTATGTGCAAACTTTTAGACTAGATTGATGGTCTCCTGCTGCTATTATAAGCCTGATAGCATCTCACTTAGTGTTTAGTGTGTTGGCCTGAAAAGCAAAAACAGAAAAGGGAAAGAAAATGTAAAGTAGGAATGGTAAAGGCAAGTTAAAGTTAACACTAAGCCTATATGACTATATATTGCATTACTAAATTGTTGGTATGCAGTCTAAATGTCAAAAGCTCCATTTCCAATTAACCACATGACCTTTTATTGCTCTACAATTGGTTCACTAAGGCCTTCGACAGCCTCATGCTACCTTTTTCTACTACAATATCTGCTATGCTCAAACTAATGTATTACGTAATACTTAGGTAGGGTGACAACTGACCACAAACACAAGCATTAGGGGCTGGAGGTAGAATGCATTTTTATATCTAGAGTTAGGGACTCACTTTCTGACATATCCACACACATTTTGCATCATATATCATTAACCAAATGTTGGACATTTATAATTCGTTAAGTAGTTAATTATAAGTAAATTATTGGTTAAATAGCTTTGGAGTTTAGTTAATAGAAGTTATGCAATTTTGTGGTGATTTGCGAAGAGCAGACTTATCCTGTTATATATAAATGATAATCTTAAGGCTTCATATAAGGTACACAAGGCCAAAATTGCTGTATCAAACACAAGAGTCAAGAAACAATGACTGTAATATATATTTGTAATTATTGAAAGGGCCATATTTTTCGCCTAAAAGGCAATAGCTAGTTGTGTTATACAATAATGTAAATGCAAGTTAGTCCCAATATAGATGAGGAGAGTTGGATGTTTTTGCACGAATAACCCCTTGGTTTGCACAACAGTTCTCTCGACAAAACCCTAGCTAAGTTGTTGACCAAATGTTCATGGACAGTTGGCATGGTGGTTGAGTTTGCTTGCGTGTGAGAGAGTGTTGTATGCTATCTCTTTGCATTGTTCTCACCTTGTTTCTTATGCTGGCCAAGGATTTGGGTGTTCAGTGAGGGTATGTTGATGGTGTGATGCATTTTTTATATCCAGTAGTGATGAATCTGGGTGAAGGAAATCCGCATTGATGAAATCAATTCATTTAGCCTTTAACATACAGAATTACAAGTTAGTAGATAATTACGCCTTTTATCATAGCTCGTAATGTATTTTTATCTAGCATAGGTTCAAAGTGCAAGCTGGGGTTTTGTAGATTTTAGATAAGCATATTTTGTGAATGTAACTTCAAACAGGTGTTGATAGACATTGCTTGGAGTGTGTAATGGTTTCCATTAAAGATGGTACGGTTGCTTATGTCCTTGTAACATTTTGTAATGTTTGATATATTTTGATATAGTTTTTATCAAAATATAGTTAGTGTCTGCCTGAACTTTGTAATTGACAATTAATTACTCACCTCCAAAACCTAGTTATTCTTTCTATGAATATGGCACGTAATGTTATCTCATGATGATGACTAAAAACCTGATTTAGAAGTATATGTGCATCAAATACAGTTTATAAATGTGTTTGAGACGCCATCAAGAGGCTCAATTCTCACTATACACAATGCTTGAAAGAATTTGAAACTGAACTCGAAACAGTCAGCAGCATTAAGCACTACATACAATATTTGAGGTATCAACCTACGCCACATTGCTAACAGTTTGCTAAAGTTGTTCCATTAACTTCTCTGATATTTTACTTTCAAAACATCATTTTTAATATGTAAATAATAAAAGAACTTTTTTAAAACTGTTAATAATAGTAAGATTTTATTAAAAAAAATTTATAATACTTTTATGAGATGCTAAAATGCAAATGCTGTAGGGTTTGATGTTCAGAAAGGGATTTGAATTTTGGACGCATTTAGACATTCACATTATTTGAAAATATATTAACCGTAATCCAATCTGACTCGGAAAAGAGAATAAAGGGGTCTCTGTTTCCTTTATGAATTACGAATCACATTTGACGTTGGTGCAGTCGCGAAAATAGCGTGCTTTTTGTCGTTTGTCGGATATGGCCGCATTACAATGGTAGATAATTTGCGACATACAATTGTAATTTAATTTTGCAATCTATGTCACCATCTTTTTATTTTTGTTTCTTTCGGTGCAAACTTTGCGACAATCTACTTGATAATTTAAGTCACAAACAAATTATGAGATTCCAATGGTATCATTTTCTTTAACGTTATACAGCATGATATTAGAGAAACACTTGAGTTACTTTTGCGCAAGATTGGTATAAATCTTGTATTTTTTTCATTTGAGTCCATTGAAATTTTTTTACATTTTCCATATATTTATTGTGTTATCGTTACTTTCGAAAATTGAATTTGGGTCAAAATAGATACCCCTCCAGCTCATGATAAGGTGGATATCCATAATGGAGAACTTAAGAATCGCACACAAACTCATTTCATCATTGATTGCTTATATTCGAAAGAGATTATTTTGTGTGTGTGTGTGCGTGTGTGTGGACACGAGACTATTTTGTGAGAAAGAGAAATATATTAATAATGTCAAAATAAAGTTTCAATCACAATGGAATATTTTACTTTTAGGAGATTGGATTCGCTCAACATATAATTATATTTTGATGATTATTATTGTTCTAGTTTATGATTAGCTGACTTCTCGTTCTAGTGAAATTAATACAAGGCATGAAAATATTATTAACTTCAACGAAAATTTGGAAATCCAAGAGAAAAAGAAATATTAATAAAATGGGTGGAACTTCATTTAACTTATTTAGATTTATTTGTTAGGTAGATGAAAATAGTATATTTTAAAAATTACACATTATTTTAGATATATTGAAAGAAGTTTCACATTATTTATGATAAACAAAAAAGTGAATAAACAAAGTTATATAATAGATTTGAATTCATGATGTCAAGGTATCTTAAAAAAAACACTTTAAACTTATATTTAACTTTTCTTATTTTTTTTTATACTCGTGTATGAGAGTGTTGTAAAATTTAGTTTAATTATTTATTTTATAAAATATAAATATATTAGAGTCAATATAGAGTAATTTATGGATTGTAAATTTTTTTACATAGTATTAGTCGTTCGTTGTAAAAATTTATGAAAGTAAAAATGGTAATTTAAAATCTAATGTCCAATCAATTTGAAATAATAATAATAATCTCTTTTCAAAGAGAATTCAACTATGTTATTTAACAAAAGGTTAAAGCATGGACTTCAATTTAAAGGATTGACAAAGCTAAAGCTTAATAACACAAATACCAAAATAGATCATTTGCTTCTAATAAAAAAAATTATCTACTGTGAAATATAAAATTAACTAACTATAAAATATTATAATTTTTTGTAATTATTAGATGTAAATTTAACGGCTGAAAGATGAGGGCACCTATAATTTTGAAAACAAGAAACATGATGATTTCGTCCATGATAAAACTTTTTTTACTTCTTATTTTAAAGTTATAAGTAAAGTCTATGCATTCTCTATTTTATTTATTTGTATTTTGTCTTCCTAACTTTTTTCACTTTCACCTAATAAAATATTAATTTATTGACTGTATATAACGATATTACTTTTTCTTTAAATCAACTTTTAACTCTTTTCAAACTCTCTTCCCACCTTTAATGATGTAACTATTTATATTTAATTATTCAACACTCTATTCTCAATCTCATATGATCTTCTAACTAAGCAATTTGAAAGGGTTATTCAAAAGATTTATATTTAAGTGTTAATACGATTTTTATCATAGTACATTTTATAATTTTTTACATTTAAGCATGAATTATAATATATTTATTCTAAAAGCGATTCAACGTATGATCATAAACTTAGTGTCTAAGTTTTAGACTTCTATTTGGACACATTTTAAATTTATTTTTTCTCATTTGTATCAATCCCATTAAAATTTTAAATTTATTTTTTTTTATCATAATATACCAAGGTAACAGATATAAAATTGACTGATAACAACTAAGAAAATACCTTCTTTTTTTATAATTGAGGATTATCAAACTTTTATTTCTTATTATTTATATCAATATTATGCATGTGGACAAGTTCAAGACAAGATGTCTCAGGTTTTGAGTTCTATAAATTTTAAAAGCAGAAAAGTGATTAATACTTAAAATTGCTTAAACTCTTTAATAATTATAACCAAAACTTACAAAAGGAAAGTTTCGAACACCCAACAATTTTGTAATCACTTATAAATTAAAATATAAGACAAATCAAACGATCCCTTATTAGGTTGACATTGTTCGTATAAAATTAAACATTCATATATTTACATCTGCTAGCAAATTTGGTTGTCCAACATCAAGGTTTTTTGAAACTTCGACTTAACCAGGGTTCAAAAGATTACAAGCATAGATGAAACCTTTTTAATTTAGTGGTTCTTACACCTATATATTATTATTTTTCAAAGCATTTCATTTTTTGTAATAGGCTTTTTGTTGGCCTAAGCTTAATCTGTTTATGTAACTCTTTTGCTTCCATTGCCAAAATTCTAATGAGAACCTCTAAATTTTGTTGTTCTTTTTGTACAACTTTAATTTGTTACAACTCTATCCAGAGGGAAATCTGACAATATACATTTTCGTCTTAACATTTTTATATTTCAAGAAGTTTTAAGGGGTGCATCTCACCAAGCTACAAAATGGATGATGCGTAAGATATTCAACAACTATACAGATCTTTGTACAGTAGTAACTCTTAAGACCCTTATGTAACTTTCTCTATTTTATTTTTTATCTTTTGTATAATTTTTCAACCAGGTAAATGAGGAAAACAAACCTTAATTATGACTTGCTACTTTAAATGCCATCAATAATGTATGGTATGTATGAGAATATTATGTCTTGTCATGACTGTGAAATCACTTCTGACCAATGATGGTGCAGTAATGACCCTTTATGTTTTCTTGCCAGTTCCATTATTTCACTCATTCCTTTAGGAAATCATTTGGGATCATGGCATTCTTATAGGTGAGAACACTACAGTGAGTCTTGCATGATCAGATAGGGAATAGTCTTCAGGCCACCTACCCTTTTCCACCTCTGAAGGGAATAGAACTGCATTTTTCACTCTAAAACCAATTGTTTGTACCTCACCCTCATTTGGCTCATCATCTTGTTGCCCATTCTGCTTGTCATCTCTTTTTTTATCTGATCCTGTTGGATTCCATATTTGCTGCTGCAACCACATAATAACAGTATGGCATGAATAATCTTGATTATAAATTTATAAGTTAGTTGCTGCCATCAATGCATTGCTACATGCTCTATGGAGAAAGCCATCTATATTTCAAGGTTACACTCTCAACTTATCCTAAGTATATATTGATTGTATAAGTCTGAACACAACTTCTTACTAAAATTTACTCAAGACTTCAGAGGTTTCCTATATGAAATTTTAATAATAACAAATTTAATCTAAACCACTTTACCAGAAATTCTTTATAATCAACACCACCATTTCCATCTATATCTGCTTGGACCCACAACTCCTTTGTTTCTTCAACACCTAATCCATGGCAATGACCAATTAAATTAAGCTGCACAAAATGGAAACACCGAGAGCCTTTATTAACATGAGAATTACTCTGATCAGTGAGCACACTATCTGAAACATAGAAGTGCTCATCTAGTTTAGTCATCTAATAGCAATAGAAAACACTACACGAAACCTGTTGAAGTGCTTCACAGAAACTATAGTAGGTAATGCAATCTTCATTTTCAGCCTTTAGAAAAGCAAATGCATCACTCTCTGTCAGTGAAGTTCTTCGCAATAGACACTGAAAAAGGCAGAGTTTATTGTCAGTGACAGAATTCTGTTCCATAACTAGATCAATAGTATGGTGCTAGTCTGGGCTTGAAAACAATACTACTTAAAGAAGCTCTATAGATATAAAAGCAATGAAAAAAAAAACATGAAAGTGCTATTTCTTTATGGAAATGTATTACTAGTTAACATGACCACGTTAGCCAAGTGAATTGTGAATGAAGAAGTATTTCTATTATCTCAACAAAATATAAAATTGATCCCTGCATAGCATAAGAAAAGAATTATACACCAAAAGCAAAAGATGTTAAAAAGATGTTATCATATTACAAGTTTTTGCATAGCATATTACAAGTTTTTTAATTAATCCATAAGCATAGCAGGTGGCAGGTTCTATAATAATCATATTTTCCTCAAGATTTTACTTGAAAACGTGGACCTTAATCTATGTCTGGAAATTGTTTTCTTTATCAACTTTATTGTTCGATTCCCTCTTGCTCAATGGGGAAAAAATGTTGAAAATTCTAAAGATATGCACGTTGTTAAAGATTACCTTAAACATGTCAAATACTGCTTCACTCCAACTTGTTTTAGGTAGTTTTTGATATTTGCCAGGATTAAGAAGCCATATAAAATCAACAGCACAAATATTTCCCAGATGATTGCGGTGGCTAACCCACTGATTGACACAAGGTGAAGCAAATATGAGTGATGGGAATAATATCCAACTGAAAAATTCTGAAAACCGAGTTATTATTATTACCTTGTGAGCATCAGCATCAGTGTAATGATGTGCAGTATCATACGATGAAACAAACCCCTGAGACCTCAGGAACTTGTAAACATGTCCCCTTTTGCTTCCATTCCAATCACTGAGGAAGAAATAAAATTATCATAAAATACTAATAGTGATTCAAATTTCTTTAAAATAAAAGAATGGAGCTCTAATTGAAGCTTACCCGCATAGCATAATTGGTAAAGGCTTAAGTTGGTACTCTTTCTGATAAGATTCCACATATTGAAGCATCTTGTAGACCTTCATAAAATCAAATTTTAATATATGTCCAAGTGAGAAACCAAGGCTAACAATAGATGGTGCTTAAATACCAAAACTAAATGGTCACATACTTGATGCAATCGTACAAGGCAAAGACTTGAATGATGAGGGAATAGTAGGTGAGTGTTGACAATAAGAATTTCCTGCCTAATATCACTGTTTTGGTATTGTGAAAATGGAAAAGCTAACTCAACATGTAACAATTGAGCTACTCGGTCACCACAATCATTGAAGTGCAACTCCTTATAATTTAGAACTGTAAAATTTTCCTTTTGCACTGCCATCAGAAGACCTGAACATTTCAAAGGAAACTCCTTATGAGCATTTGTGCTTTCAAACTCAACAAGTGTTGCAAACAAAACCATGTATATGGAAAATGTATGTATGAGAACCTGATTGACTCTTAGCTGTCTGAAAGTATTCTATTCGCTTGCAAATGAAAAATAGAACCAGTTTTTGCCCAATATAAACAAATTTTAAACATCTTAAGACTCAAAAGGGTTTTTTTATTTTACATCTCTAGGATATGGCTATCAATAATAAAGATGATCAGGTTGAGATATGGGAAAAAACCGAGAATCCAAAATGGTAATTTTCAATTGAGAGAATTTTGCATACCATCACCACGATTGTTAGTCCTTCCAAGCTTGAAGTTAATATAACCAGCATCACCAAGTCTCTTCTCATACAAATTAACAAGCTCTTCGTTTGCAACCCAAAATTCCTGCACAAATCCAACATATTATTAGCATCATCACCCTTCAAAAACCAGACTTCATGACAGAATAAAAGAACAGTTATTTTGAAACCATAAATAACTTCATAGTTTATTATACAAGTGCATGTATTTATCACAATCTTGAACTGTTGATTTTCTAATAAACAATTATAACTGCACTTTATTATCTTCTAAAGTACATCCCTTTACTTTAGCAGAGTCAAATCTTACATTTGTGTATTCAATAAAACATGCAACCAATTAGCCTTTAGCATATTAAAAACACTCCAATCAAATTCTTTGAACATGCAAACCTGAAGGCAGATAATGGAAGATCTCTCATACAACAACCAATCCAATATACTGTGATTCCTAGCCAACCAAGACGCTTTGTAGTCACTTTCACGGCAACTTTGATCCTGCTTTCACCCCACCAAAACACAAATAACAAGCATCCAGATTTAGACCACCCCATCAAAGGAAAAGATCAATGCAAATAGGTGAAACTCATAACACAAAAGAAGAACCTCATGGTTGAGGCGTTTGTATATGGGGGCTAGAATGTTAAAAGTGGTGCAGGTAATACAAGGTTGTTGTTGGTTTTCTTGCATTGAAGAGGCGATTGCATAATTTTCAGTCCTTGGAATTCTTCCCATCTTCTCACAATTCCTATGATATCTTTTCAAAATGCTTAGTCTACGTCCAAATAATGCAATGCTAGTCCCTATATATATAATATGAAATATATAAGATTAGCACAATCTCTATCATATAATACCCACTAAGTTCCAACTTCAAAGGGAGGGGATGCTCTAAACAGGAGCCACTCACAGAAAGTGTCACCTTTTTTATTTTATATTTGCGTCCCCAAACCAATTTTTCATTTCTTGGAAAGGTAACCGAATTTCTACGTGTTTTCGTTATCGTTGAGAGTGATGCATTTATACAATTTTGTATTATACTTCCCCATAAATTTGAATTTCACTCTTTTGATTCACTTAATCTTCATTCTGTTGCTAAGTCGTGTGCTTTCTCGTATATCAATTTTGTATTATCCTTCCCCATATATTTGATTTTGATACTATTTTTTTTTTGCATATTTTTATTGAAAATACAAATTGGTTTAATTATTTTTTAGAACAAATGTCCAAAGAAAGTCAATAAATTTCGGGGTTATATAATTGCCTTTTAGTTTTATAATATTTTTAAGGTTAGGATTTTAAAAGTAAATATTAATTAACATATATTTTACATAATACTCCTTCCATACATGTTCTTTGTAAATATCCTGTCATTAATAGAGTTGGAGATAATTCATTTTAATAATTTAAAAAATAATATTAATAGACATAATTATGATAATTAATAAAGTCTTGTCATATTAATTAGATTTATTTTTATCATGAATAAAGCTTAACAACAACCGTCAACTTTACAGGTATATATAATTCTTAAACTTCTTATACTAACCTTTTATATAAATAAAATGTCAAGTGAACCAAAATAATGCAATCTAGATCACACTTTTTCTACAACTAATACAACTTTTTTTTTTACCTTATCCCCCTTAGCCATAATCTTGGCTCTACTTATTTTAAATAAGCAAGCTATAGCTTTAATGTATTTGAAAAAACATATATAGTTATGATATTTTTTAAAAAAATATTTTCTAATAATTTAGTGTTAGATTTTTTTTGTCAATATAGAGGCCCAAAATTATTATTGAACAAATTCTACAAACATTTTGAAATCAAACTCTCTTCCTCCACTAATGATGAAGTGTTGCAAAATAAAATGTAGTATAATGTAAGATATTTTCTTTATTTTAAATTTAAATTTAAACAAATCATAATAAAAAAATTTCTAATAAATCATTCTCCAATTTCAATTAGATTTACAAATAAAAAGTTCAAATATTGAAGATAAAATCAATGATTTGATTAAATTAATTTTTTGACTGCACTTTTGTTTTGGATCTCATCTACTTGAGTTTAAATAAGTAAATTTACAATTTTATTTGTTGTTTTTTTATATAAATTTTATTAGATCAAAATTATTTCTTTTTTTTAAGCTGTATAATTTAGTCTTGCAAAACTTATTACATTCTCTTATTCCTTGTTCTAATCATTAGACCTCCTATTATATGAAAAGAATTTTTAAGTTAATTAATTAATTTTTTCAAACAAAAAATTTACTTTGACAATATAAGAATTACTTTAATTTATATGAAGTTGATTTTTTTCTTATGGTTTATAATGTGAAATAAATATTTATTATTTTCTATTTTGAACATACATAATTTTATTTTTATTTATAAAATTGAATTCAGACACAAAAGTAAGGATACATGCTTAAAAAATAGTAAACAAAATTTATGAAAAATTCAATAAAAAGCACAGTAATAATTACAAAAAAATGTATTAATAAAAAAATCACTTTTAATTCTTATTTAACAGCATTAACATACTTAATTATTAACAATTGTGTTAAAAGTAACTACCAGCCTGTGTGGACCTTTTCTATATTAACATTAAAAATAGAGTAAAAAGTTGTGTATGTAAATGTAACGAAAACAAAAATGAAAGTCAGAAAATAATTAAATAAGAAGTAGTGGGAAGAGAATAAATTGTGGAGGGTATATTTGAGGAATGAGCAGAGATAGGAAGCAGTCCACATTGAAACGAGTTTTTATCTTTAGGCCGAAAGTTAGAATCATTGTCCATTTTCTGACGCAAACCAACGGATATTATGTATTTTCCGTTGAACCTAAAGTATTTCTATATTTATAAATTCCAGATCTCTAAAGTTAAAATAATTTAAACACTACAACAATAAAATTTTTTTTTTTTAATTTTTATCTTTATTTCTTTATCTATTCTTCACTACTCTAAAATAATATAAACACTTAGTTAACAAATAATATTTAATTAAAAAACTATTGCAATACATCAAGTAGTATTCATCAGATTAATTGAATATATTTTTTGATGATTGAATTGACACAGTATCACTTGTTATTCGAATTAAACTACGTTAAATTTGATCGATTTGGATAAAATCATACTTGTTAAATATTGGTTTAGATAATATTTCAGTTTGAATCAATTTGCATTATTAGTTTAATTGATTTACTCGATTCGATGTACATTTCTATTTATATTTATAACCTAGAAATTATATTCAAATTCTAACTTAAGTACTCAAATTTCATTTAGGTCTTATCTTCTTATATTCCTTTCCCACCTTTACCAAATTAAAACTTTCTTCAAGTAAGGCTGGTTAAATATATAATTTGTAAATTTTTTACTATAATATAAGAAAATTTTTATTATATCCACTCAAAATCTCATTAATCAGTTCTTTTCTGTTACTTTCTCTATAAATTAAATAAAAAATATTTAAATATTTTTTTTCTATTATATTAACTCAAAAAAACTAAATATGTCTATATATATATATTTTTTTTAATAACAATAATAAAATTTTATTATGTATGAATTATTTTTAGTATTTTAATAATAATAATAATAATTTTTGATTAATTTACATATTTATTAAATTAATAAATACATGTATAGTTTTAAATTATAAATGATATTTGACTTAAAAATATAATTTTTAAATATTTTAAAATTTATAATTTTTTATTTGATAGTTTATTTTTTATTTTTTATTTTTTATAAATAAATTCACCAATTTTTTTAGATATACTTTTAATCCTATAATTAATACTTATTTATAAATTAATTTTATAATTAAAATAATTTATGTTTTAATTATTATATAAATAATTTATTGTATTTTAATTCTTGTCGTTATAATATTATTAATATTGTTAATATTAAAGATTAAAACATAAATGATAAAGGTCAAAGTGTAAAAAAAATATTTGTATAAAAATTAAAATATAATTTTTAAGTATAAAACTATTTTTAAGGTAAATATCAATTATTGGAATTAAATATATAATTTAATTTTTTTATATTTTTCATATCATTATTTCAATGTTAAAAGTTGAAATCAGTGTGAATTTGGTAAAAGCCCTTTTAGCATACTAAAGAGAATATCTTTTACACTCTGTTTAGATGCTAAGAAAAAAAAATGAAGAGAATAAAGAGGGTATAAAAATATGTATTTTTTATACGTTTGGATGCTTTTTCTTAATATGATGGGAAATGAATTATTCTAACGACCCACGTAAAATATTTTCAGGAAGTGAGTGAAATTAATTTTGGGTAGAAAAATCCTGATCTTTTCGGCTGAAAATGATTTTTAAAGAAATATAAATTATAAAAAATAATAAAATTAAAATATTAAGAAAAAATCATATTAAAACATTTATTTTTTATTAAAATAAGTTATTATTATGGTAAAAAATATTTTAATACAAATTACTTTTATTTTTACTTTCGTTTCAATTCTTTTAAATAAGTAAATAAGAATTTTCTCACTTCTTCAACTTCTATTTTAGTCCATTCAATTGACATATTTTCATCTTATTTTTTTATCTATGTTTTTCTTGTATTATTTTTTCATTAAAACCACATTAATGCTGGAAAATTAGAACGTTTTTTCAATGATTTGACACAATACATGCATATCGATTTCAATCTCAATCTCTTTCTTTCACTGATACGCTGTCATTTTCCTATGTTTTTATTTCCTAATTTCTTATCCTATATTCTTGTAATCACACTTAACTTAAACTGGATTAACAAAACAACTAATACTAGTGAACTTGATCCAAGAATAGCTTTGATAAGACTAATTCAATTTAATAATATTTTCTTAACATTGAATTTTATTAATTTAACTGTCTAATTTATTTGAAAATAAATTAAGTTTATAAATTATTTTAATGTAAACAATGTTTAAATAATCTTTTCTTATGTTTTCATTGTACATATCTATTTATCTTGTAAGATAAAATTAGAAAGGAACAGTGTTTTCAATTTCAACCAATGTGAGTCATGTGTTGTTGAATATGGTGTTACGGTTGATCCAAGACAACTTGCAAATCCTTGTTTTGTTGTTATTTCGTTTTTATTCTTTTATTTTTAACTCCTGACTATTATATAGACCGTAGAATAATAAGCGACAGAAACAAATATATAAAAATTGGAAATAAAGGAGGTTCTGTTTATACTGTTAACCGATTAAAATTAAAATTGTATTTTAATAAAATATTTATATTTAATGTTATTACAAATTATTAAAATAAAATGTTAAAATTAATTAAAAAATAATACCAATAATATTTCGACTGCACTCAAGTATTTACTGTAACTACAAGGCAGGATAATAGATTTATCAATAGTGGATAGTTTAAAACTACTGTAACAACAATTAAACTTTATCTTATAAGATAAGCTCAGTTACATAGATCATACAATACTATTAAACTGTATCAAAAACTAAATTTTTAAAATTTAATTAAAAATAAAAGATAAAAAATTGAAAAGTGATTAAAGAAAAAAAAAATCTAACCTTAATAATATTTTTTTTCCTTCAATTTTTTTGGGTCATTTGAATTTCAAGAGTTACAGTATTATTAGGTGAAGAGCTTGGTACTACGCTGGCTGTTGATTGGACGCCGGTTGACTCACCAGCCATGCTTGTTGTTTTTGGTCATTCTGCAAATGATACATTTGGTTGAGCCAAGTACTGTTTCTCATTCTTTTTGCCCCACAAAAAGGAATACAATCCCACTATGATCAAAACCATGCCCAGCAACCTGCATATACAACTTACTTTAAAAATTTTCTGTGCGTGTCATAAACAACTACCAAAACTAGCTGCAGGGTGGTCAAGCCTCACATCTCCTAGAGAAGGTAGGGATTACAAGGAATATTGAAATTTGGCATAATTGAAAGAAAGAAGAATGTTCATACGTTCCAACTTTTAATGGCTCTCCAAGTAAGATAGCTTCTGATATGGCCACAAAAATAAGAGCAAGTGGATTGAACATTGCGGGATAGGTAGGTCCTTTCAGTGTAATCACCCAAGATAATATGCAAAATGTAGCAGCCGTGCCCAGTACTCCCTAAAGAAAAAAATTCCACTGGTTAATCACTTCAAGGTGTTTATGATCCTCATTCAAAGTTCTATGTTAGATTAAATAATTGTTGATGGTTAAATTTAAAAATTTTAGAACTAAGCACAACATGGTTCCTGATTTAGTTTGATTTCAAATTATTCAAAATGCATAACAATAATAATAAATTATTCAAAATTACTGATTTACTGTGAGAATAATTCTGCATATTTAATGGATATATAAAATCTTATGAAAATATATTAAATGATAAGAAATAACTTTTCACTCATATTTATACAAAATAATGAATATTGATATTAATATTAGTAGTTTTATCCGTCAAATAAAGTTTCTTTTGGAAGATAGATGTGGTTTAAAAATAATAATAAACAGTTTTGATTCTCATTGGATGTATAGTAGCTTCAATTTGTGGGTAATTAAGCGGTCATAATATCTTACGGTGTAAAATATAGTGATCAGTTGTAGATTCCACTCTAATTTCCAAGCATCTTTACTACAATCTATGATTATGCCTGTTATTGCTGATTGGATCGCTGCCATAACACATGTTAGCATTGTTCCCCAGTATCTCAGTGGAAATACTTTAAGCAGCTTGACCTGTATGAATTAAAATAAATAAATCAGAAAGATAATAATTAGCATTTTCTTAAAACTAAAGAAATGGATACCTACAAAGAGATGTGAAGATAAACCATGTGCATTGCATTTAAAGCTAGCAATTAACTATTTTTTCAGTATAATGTTTTATACAAACATTTTTACTGTTTTTTTTTATAAACTTTTTAAAACAAAAATATCTTCTGAAATCAAATAGTTGCTTAAATGTAATATAATACTCTATTGAAGGGTGGAATGCTTACTTGCACAATAAACCAAGCTGTGAATGAGAAGCAGCTGCAAATCAAAAAGAAAGTGCCCCGAAGCATGTGAGCTTCATGTGCCGCCACAGCAATATGATGGTGATTTGTATGATGAGCAAGATCAAATTTCTTCCCTTTGTAAAGACTGCAAACTAATGCTCCCCCAACACACAAAATTGTTCCAATACACTTACCTTTACCAGACTTACTTTGCAGCTCTAGTTTCTCTATTCTGCATTAATTAATAAAATGAAACTGGTTATGCAATAATGCTTCGGAGTATATATATATAGATTTGTCTTAATTTATAGATATATACCTGCATATGATAGAGGTAAGGAAGGTGCATATTGGAATCAAATTAAGAAAGTTGCCAGAGTAAGTAGCTGAGGTATCTCTTAGACCATAATAAAACAATCCTTGAGCCATAATAATCCTGTAATTTGTGCCATCCATTATATTATAAATGCCCAGTCCATAGAACTTATTAGAAAAAAAAAAAGTTAAAAGCAATGGATCATGTGCGTGTCAACATGAAATAAGTATCTCAAAATAAAAATAGGTAACGTTATTTTAATACTTGATTTATATGAGTATATCTGATATTTTTCATAAATTTTTAAAAAAATTATACAATATTTGTATAAAGTGTCTTTAAATCTGCTGTTAAAATAACATTATTCTAAAAAATGGTTCTTTTTAAATATTGCAATAATTAAATAATTCACAGCAATAATTATAATATTTTATTTAATTATTGAAATAAAAAATGGTATGCCTATTTAAATTTGATTAACTTTATTGTAGAAAATAAGTACTTTTTATTTATTGTTTGGGAGTTCAAAGATTAGTTATTTTTCAAGATTAATTCATCCTCAAATGTGCCAGAAGACAAACTACTTAACTAATGAAGTTATTATTGCTACATATAAACATTTTCCTAATTTAATGGATTGAAAGAAATGGAATCAATTCGCACGTCACGTTTAATAAATTTGGTATTAGAAATTAATTTTCCTATTTGAAAAAAGGAATTGTTTTTATGGGTGCTTTTTTTTTTTTTATCAATCGGAAAGATTTAATTAAAAAGAAAACAGACAAAGAAATTCAATTTGTACTGGATAAGATATTATTCGGTCTCAATGATAAAAAAAGAATCTAAATACCCTATCGACCTCAACAGGATGAGTATCTTCTTGGTCAAATTAAAAAGTAATTAAATCAATTAGGGTAAATAATCATATTATTATTTACTTAATTGGAAAATCAAAATTAAGGCTGATTCACAAAGCCCATTAGCCAATAATATTGCCTATAAAAGGAATGTAAGATGTGCAGGTGAATGGTTGACTTTTAAATATTTAATAACATTTATTATTTAAATCAACACCTGACTTTATCATTGGAGTACCTTTTGCAAGTATAATTTCTCTACATCAGACAAAGGAAGACCAATAGTGTCAGCAAGGACGTCACCTTATCCCACAGCAAGGGAGTATTGAGAAGATCAGTATATCCGTAACATGAACACAATTCAAATGAAGAGAATAAAAAATACAAATGTTTGACAAATAGGCTACAAAATTATGACTTTCATTAATTTTACTATATTAATAAATTTTTTAATTGCACAGCATGTGCAATAATCAATGACGGGTGAGGGATAATGAAATTATTTTTTTCTATTTTCTTTCTTTTTTTCTTTGGGCGAGGAAGGGCTCCAAATACTATAACCAGCCACTTAACAAAGGAGCATAAATGCAAATTTGGTTGAATAACCTTACAGCCAAAAACACAAGTAATTTTATTTAGTTAGAATTTTTTTTAAATTAATGTTTATATAATTTTGTAAAAGATCTTAAATTAAAAATTACTAAAATTATTTAAATAAATCTTATAAAAAAGAAACTAAAAAGGGTAAAAATAAATGCCAGGTTTTTAGTACATACCCTAATGCGCTAACGAAGAGCCAAAACCAAACCTTACAATTGAACTTTATCTGCTCTCTGCAACCACAACCCAAATAATTAAAGAGAACATGCACTCAGAGCAAAGCATGTATGGAACATTGCAACTAATCAAATCATTAGAATGAAATATAGATTTAAATTATAGTCCTACAAAATCCCTTTTTTTTTTAAATCTTTGCGACCACATTTCATCGGCAATTATCATCATATTCACATGAGCCACATTTGTTGTGAGTTATCTGAAATTTTCTAAAATTTAAAACCTTGAACTGAAAAAAGCTTACCTTTCAAAATAGAGTGCAAGGGGTGCAACGCAAATGGCAGAAACAACATGACGATATGCAAGGAGTGCAAATACGAAGGTGCCCTGAACCAATGTGATCTTTGAAAGTATCTGCATAACAGTTGCAAAAACTTGCACTAGTAACATACCTAATAGGGTCTGTGACGATGTGAACCATTCTGCCGCTGTTCTCAAACAATTTGCCTCAGTTGCGCTTGCTGCGTCACTCATTGTTTTTGTCTAAGGGAAAAGATAGAAGTGAAAGAAACAGTTTAATGAAGTGTGGAAATAAATAAAGGAAAGTGTCGGGATGAGGAAGTGAAAAACTATTTATGGTAACACATGCCATATATTAATGAAGCAAAGTACATAAGTTGTGTATAACCGAATGAAGAAAGTACATATCTGTCATGTAGACACGAAATGAAGAAAGTCTTCTTCATCAAATATAAGCATAAAATAGTTAATCACTAAAATTTATTATTGTTATCTAAAAAATTGTTAATAGGTATCCGACTTAAGGTTTAAAAGAAGATTGATCATTTATAGTTTTTATCTGGTCGAACTCTAAATAAATAACATATAAAACAAAGTGAGACATCAATGGTCAATAATATTGATTGGAGATAAATCAAGAAAATAAAAATATATTTAGAGTTAAAGAAGAACAAAAATATGGAGAGTGGAAAGTAACAGAGAAGTAAATAGATTTATTTTCCTAGTTTGACTAATTAGTACTAGCAACAGTAATAAAACCTTCAATTTGGCCTTTTTTTAATATTTTTTAAAAATTATTTATTAAAATATTGACATTTTTTAAAAAAAAAAATTTTAAATTTTTTTATCACATCATCACTAATATCACACATTTAAAAGAAATAGTTTTACATATAAGAGGGCAAGACTACTGAAAATCTTGAGTTCTATAAGATTAAGTGTAGTTTTTTTTTTAAGTGGTTAAAATATTAATTTTTCTGTTCGAAAAGTTGATTTTCTTTAAAAATGATTAGTAGAAATAAAATTTAAATAACTGGTTTTATTATTTATATAATTTGTAATATAGTTTAACATAACAAACATAGATGATTTATAAATTAATATGTTGTTGTAATTTTTTGATAATAAATGAAATAATAAATAAAAAATGTGAATTAATAAATATTAAACAGTTAAGATTTAGAATTTTTTGAAAATAATTATTATGTTATTACATTTGTAATTAGAGACTAGCAGTGTTTTAAAATTAATTAATTTAAATATTATTATAAATGATATTACTATTAATAATATTTAATATTATTAATATTGTTTAGATGTTTGTATTTAGAAATAATGTAATTATTATATATTTGATTATAATTTAGAAAAACATTAGCAATTGGCATGTAGAAAATATTTATTTATAATGATTATAATTATTATTAACAATGTCATTATTATAAAATTAATTATTACTATTAATTTTATTATTATTTAAAGGTTGTAAATAATTATAAAATATTATTACTTAATTATTAGTTTGTCTCTATTAAAAATAATTTATAATAAGGATTTTAATTCCACATATTTGATTATCATTAATAATAAATTTGTATTTATTAATATTATAATTATTTAAAGGTTATAAATAATTATAGAATATTATTATTTAATTATTATTTGTATTAGCAAATAATGAGTAATAAGGATTATAATCATGAATACCATTATTATTATTAATGACATTTATTATTGTTTAAACTTTGCAATTAATGTAATTTATTTTATTATTTATTTATTTAATTTTTAGGTTGTTCATATATAGATATTAAAAAATTATTAGATTGTTGATTATCACGTAAGTAAAAATTAATTTGTGTTGAGAATATAATTTGTACTATTTTATTGAACAAATATGGAATTTGAGTCGATTATTAATATTTTGTTAATAATTAATATATTAATTGTTACTTATTAAATTTTTACTTAGATGATATATTTTTAGAATAAAGTAGGATCATTAATTTTAGCTTAAAGGATCTCTCGTTGTTGCAATTTGAGACTATTCACGTCTCTCAAAATTAATAGTATATTCTAGCTAAGATCCTTCCCATTTGGAGGTTGTTGATTTGGTTAAATATTGATATCTTGATAAGCATATCAATTATTAGTGTAAATAGTAAAATAATAAAGTTTATATTTTTTAAGCATTGATAAAAAATAAAGTTGTTGTGTAAATATTGATTGTTTGTACAATTTACTTACTTGAGTTAGTCAGACATCAATATAAAATTCTTTCACAATTTTGCAAGTAAAATTTAAACAATGAGTCACAATTTCAAAATTCATTAATTATATATTTATAATATCTAATTTTTTTCGTATTTAATATCCATAATCAATATAAACATATCACTTTATTTATTCATGATTATTTAGATTAGTAGAACTTATTGTTTATAAAGAATTATTAAGTCAAATAATTATGAGTTGATACAAGATTAAAAATATTTTGCAATGACATAATGAAAACAAATTTAAAGTTGTCTAAGAAATAAGAATAGAATGAAATTACAAAAATCTATAATAAACGCAACCATCTATATATATTTGAATCAAAATGAATATATAGAGTATCTCAAACAAAAAAAATAAAATTAGTCGTTCATCCCAACCATTACAACGAAAGAACAAAAAAGAAATCTAAGAAATATAGTTTCAAAGTTGTTTTCACAAACTTTTTCACTTCTTCTCTCTAGTTTCTCTCTCCAAAAAATGATAAAAATTACAAAAAAATATATTCCATGATATTGTACGTTCAAATCACCTTAAATATGCTTTAGGATAAGTGAATTTTTGCTAGAATAAAAAAATCTCGCTCTAGCAAAGAGAATATTATATTCTGAAGAAAGAGATTCTCACTCCTCGCTCTAGCTATAATTCTCTCATTCCAGCAAAAATAGGGATCCAAAAATCACTACTCTCTGTGCCCTTCTTGCTCCAATGAGACATTTCGCTTAAGCGAGATTAGGTTTCCAACTAGTGCATGTTGTTTGCTTCTTGCTTCGACGAAAGAATTTCACTCCAGTGAGAAAATAACAAATTCTTCTTTTCTCCCACACTTTAAATCTTTGCTTATCTCTTCAAAATCCTTTCAATCTTTGCTTTTCTCCTTTCTTAAACTCACCTAGAAAATGAATGTTTAGAGATCAAATGTAGCTAACTTCCATTATATTCACAATTTATATATACTAATGCAATAGTTCTAGATTTAAGAGAGTTTACGATAAAAATTCACTTAAGTAAACATCATCAATGCTAAAAAATACCATCAAATTAACTTAGATTTAACACTTATTAGCTACTCATATGAATTATGATAGTAAAATGATAAGGTGGTATCGTTATCATCATGTGGTTCACTATCAATGTAGCCATGATTTTTGTTTGAGCTTAACATTTTTTAATAAACCACCAGAAAACTATACTTGTTCCAATTTGAGGTACTTAAACAAATCACTTTTTAAGCAACTTAGTGGAGATTCTAAAGTGATCTTTGCTATTGTAGTAGAGCCACTGAAAAGAAACGTTGATATATCAATTAGAAGAAAAGCATCATCAAGCAAAATGTAGGATCTAGTTAGGGTAAGAAAAGTAGCGTTTAGATTTTTAAATTTGATGAAGATAGCCATGAAAGTGTTAAGAAATAGAGTGTTTGGATCTTCTTATAAGGTTATGATGACTAATAAAATAATTATAGTTGTGAAAATGACAAAAAGAGAAAGATGAAGGAAAAGAAAAAGTTAAAAAGACATATATCAATGAGATCTAATGAATACAATGAATAATACATGTACATGACATATGATAAAAAAAAACAATAAACTTTTTTAATATAGTTTAGGAATTTTAATAAAAAAGAATCTATTTAAAATACTTTTATAAATTAGAAGATTAAAATAAAAGAAAAAAAGTTAGATAAAAAAATTAAAATTTATTTTAAAGTCAAAAAATGAAAACACTAATTTTGTCTTTAATTTAAATCATAAAAAATTTACTTTAAATTAATTTTTTTTATTTTTTAACTATATTTGTTGTATCAGATAAAATTAGATATGAAAAAAAGGTGTTTTGAATTTCACATTTGGTTATTTTATTTTTGCACTTTTGACTCTTTTGACTGTCTTAAAATATGGCTAATGAACGTGTATAGTACATATGCATTCGTGCGACCAACCTCATAAACCTCATGAATATATGAACACACTTCAACTTTTTATCATTATTTCTCACTTGATTCTTGTTGGTTGAAAAGGAAAATGATTAGATAGTTATGATGCGATCTATTATTATCTAAAATAATTCCGGTAGACTAAGTGTATAAATATCAAGTGTAATCTGATTCTTCGATTTGTTTTCCAATGTGAATATAATAATCATTAAATATTAAGATAGCTAGGCAGATACGTGGACATGTCGAAAGATCTAATCAAAAGAAAAATTGATGGGAATGTACTAATGAATATATTAATAAAACAGACAAATTTTTAATATATTTTTGTCATAAGATTCTTCAAACGATGACACGGTAATTGTTTTTTTTTTCTTTCAAGAATTGTAATACAATCTTTAAAATAATCATTTGATTGAAGAACGTAATATTAAATATATAAGGAAGGTGCATATTGGTATCATGTTGAAAGTTGACAGAGTAAGTAGCTGAGCTGAGGTATCTCGCATTTTTAAATAAATATTACTTTAATTTTTTTTTTTTTTTTTTAAACCCTTATCATTTTAAGACCAAATATTTTACAAAAATAAAAATAGTATAATGATTAAAATAAATAACATAGTTATAAAAAAAAAACTAACATAATTAGGAACAGACAGAGGGGGCAAGGATGGGTCCTAACCCCCTCTCTAAAAATTTATTTTAAAACTTAAATTTAAATTTTGTTTTATAAAAATAATATAACTATAATTTATATTTATTAATTTAATTATATATGTTACTCTTATACATGCTATATTTATTTTATTGAATATTATTATTTAATATTAATAAATCCCATAATTATTCAACTGTCAACACAGAAAAAAAATATTATATCTATAAATTTAAAATTCATAAATTTAAATTTGATACTATTTATCAAATTAATAGTTGA